GCCCGGCGGAAGTGCGCGTGCGACTTCCGCCCCAGTGAGGAGCCGGCTAGAGCGGCGCCACAGGCACTGGGCGCTCTAGCCGGAGCGGAATGCTTGGAGAGCAGCTGCTGGCCCGCCGCTAGGTGGTGTGTGTCGGGTTCCCATTTCCTCGGTCCCTTGTCTCCTGCCAGCCTACCCTCCCATAACAGCGAATGTTTTAGTTTAAGTATTGCTCCAGTACTCCATGAGTATGCTCCGTGAGTACTGTGGCATACGTACACTATATACTTACAGTATGGAGGTTCCTTAAGAAACTACAAATAGACTTAACCATATGATCCAGCAGTCCCTTTCCTGGGCATATATCCAGAGGGAACTCTAATTCGAAAAGATACATGCACCCCAATGTTCATAGCATCACTATTTACAATAGCCAAGACATGGAAACCTAAATGTCCTTTGACAGACGAGCGGATAAAGCAGTTGTGGTATCTATCTATCTATTCAGCCATAAAAAAGAATAAAATAATGCCATTTGCAGCAACATGGGTGGACCTGGAGATCATCATTCTAAGTGAAATAAACCAGAAAGAGAAAGAAAAATACCATACGATATCACTTATATGTGGAATATTTAAAAAAACACGAACTCACTCAGAAAACAGAAACAGACAGACATAAAAAACAAACTTACGGTTACCAGGAAGGAAAGAAGGTGGGAAGGGATAAACTGGGAGTTCAAGATTTGCAGATACAAACTACTATATATAAAGTAGATAAACTACAAGTTTATACTGATAGCACAGAGAATTATTATCTTGTAGTAACCTAAAATGTAAAAGAATATGAAAAGGAATACGTGTATGTATACATACGACTGAAACATTATGCTGTACACCAGAAATTGACACAACATTGTAAACTAACTATACTTCAATAAAACAAGTAAAAACAACAACAAAAAAGAACCCTTAGAAATTAAAAACATAACAATTAAAAGTTCAAGAGCAAAATGGAAGACAGAGTTGAAGAAATCTCTCAGCAGGCAGAACAAAAAGACAAGGTAGAAAACAGAGACAATAAGGGGGAAGGGTATAGCTCAAGTGTTAGAGCGCATGCTCAGCATGCGAGAGGTCCTGGGTCAAATCCCCAGTACCTCCTCCAAGCAGAAACAAATTAATAAACCTAATTAAAAAAACAAAACAAAAAACAGAGAAAATAAGAAGATGAAAGTTGGGATCCAGCAGGCACAATATCTAATTAATAGAAATTTCAGAGAGAACAGATGAAATGGAGAGGTGCAAGTTGTCAGAGCCAATAAGGCAATATATGCCAGATCTGAAGGACATGAGTCTCCATATTGAAAGGGCCCAATCAAGGGAAAGAGACAGCATCAGTGAGAGAGATCATCATGGAGTACCTGTGTACTGCAGATAAAACAAAGGGCCTAAAATCTTCAGGGGAAGGGAGTAAGGAGGGAGAAGAACCTGTAAGAAGGACTGAAAATCAGACTTACAATCCTAGAACACTGGAAGCTAGAAGTTCTCTCAACTTTCTGGGGGAATATGATTTCCATCACAAATTCTATACCCAGAAAAACTTTCCATCCAGCATAAAGTCAGCAACATAAAAAGGACAAATTATTTAGCTTATGTGTTCCCATTCAAATGATGCCTGTGCAGAAGCTTAGAGAGTGGATGTCCTAGAAAATGGATGTCCAGATTGGAGCAAGAGGCCACTGGCTTCCAGAGGGAGATCTCCAGAGTAAATATGGAATTGATTGTGGGTGATCTCCTTGTGTGCTTAAGAACCAGGAAAAGTTATTGCAAGGAGCTTGGAAAATTTAAGGTAAAATAACAAAACAAGAATATAGAAAAACAAGCAAAGAAAAATAATAAGACAGCTATCAATGAGAAAGGAAATGTAATCATAGTCCACTACTTGGCTCAGCAGAGGACACTACATGGTCATAATAATAGAAACACTGACCAGTGACTTAACCAAAAATTATGATAAATTCATATTAGGAGGATGGAGAGATGAGAAATGAGGTGACTGGGTTGGGGGAGAGCCAAAGCTTCATCTAAATTAGGAGGAAGCCATTTGATGGTGTCTTAAAAAACATTAATTTAGTGGGGAGGATATAGCTCAAGTGGTAGAGTGCATGCCTAACAAGCAAGAGGTCCTGGGTTCAATCCTCAGTATCTCTTCTAAAAATAAATCAACAAATGAACCTAATTCCCCCCTCCCCAACTTTTTTTAAAGATAAATTTTAGAATGGTGTTTTATAATCTGAGTCAGCGGTTCTCAATGGGGGGTGATTTTGCCCCCAAGGAGACGTGTGGTAAAGTCTGGAGACGTTTTTGGTTGGTTGTTACAGTTGGGTGGGAGTGTTAATGGCATTTACTGGTGCATTAGTTTCCTATTGCTGCTGTAAAAAATTACCACAAACACAGTGGCTTCAAGTAACATACATTTATTATCTCACAGTTCTGGAATTCAGAAGTTCAAGATGGGTCTCAGTGGGATAAAATCAGCGTGCAGGTGGGCTGCGTTCCTCCTGGAGGCTCTAGAGGAGAATCCATTTCCTAGACTTTTCCATCTTCTAGAGGCACCTGTGTTCCATGGCTCACCACCATTCCTCCCATCTACAAAGTGCGTCACTCCACCCTCTGTTTCCATTGTCACCTCTCCTTCTCTGATTCTGCCTCCCTCCTCCATGCTTAAGAACCCTTGAGATTACATTAGGTCCACCTGGATAATTCAGGATGATTTGGCTTATGTTAAATTCAGCCAATTAGCATTCTTCATTTCCTCTGCAACTGTAATTCCCCCTTACTATGTAAAGTAAATATTCACAGGTTCCAGGGATTAGAATGTAGATATCTTTGGGGAGGGGCTATTTTTCTGCCCACACAAATGACTAGAGGCCAAGGATGCTGCTCAATACCCTACAGTGCCCAGGACAGCCTCACAAATGCCAACCGTACTGAGGTTGAGAAACGCTGATCTAAGGTCATACATGAGTTACGCTGGGGGCTTCTGGTTAGGAGGGGGCAAAGGGAGCCCCCTGGGGAGCTGCAATGTTTTCTAACTTGATCTGGGCTGTGGGAACATAGGCGAATGCGTATGTAACAAATTGTTAAGATATGCACATTTACTCAAAGTGTGTGATACCTCCTTAAAAAGACCACCAAATTTTAGAGTAGCAGTTAAGTTTATTATTTCAAAATAGGGAGGCAAATACTAGGAGAAATATCTGAAGGAGTTGGAAGCAGTTGCCCCTGGAGGGCAGAATGTGAAAGGCTGGAACAGAGATAGCTTTATTTTTTCCCTTATACTAGCATTTGATTTATAATGTCTATGACCTTGATTAAAAAAATAATTTTAAAATGACAAAATGGGGAGATTTTCTCAATCACTGGGTCATTTGGATGAGGTTCCTGTTGAGGACCAGGCTCTGTACCTGGGGTGGGGGCCGTGAGTATGAAGCCGAGGTGGTTCTGATCCCTGGAGGTCTTGTGTCCTCCTTGGTCCAGTGTCACCAAGAATGGTGTACAGATAGTCAGAGCCACGATTCCTAGGAGGGGCTGTGTGTAGATGAAAGGAGAGGTGAGTCCCAGAAAGAAGAATCACCTCTCATGGACTGTTAGGGTCACTGCCTCTGCTGGCAATGGACCTTTCTTTCACTCCAGACTCCTGGTTAGTGGATACTTTTGTCCCTGTGCTCAGGGCTGGGCGGGACACAGAGCCCCTTCTCCTCTGCACTCCAAATTGGGAGGCCCCAGGGACCATCAAGCTATTCTGTGCTTTGCTCCCTTCCCCCGTCCTGGGCCCCCTCCCCACATGCCTTCTGCACACCAGACAGGCAACCACCCTCCTCTGTCCCAATGTGGCCTTCATCCTTCACCTGCACCCTGACAGTTTCACTCCCTCTGGTCCATAGTCATAAACAAGCCGGAGGGATCACTGGTATTTCAACTTCAGATACTGAACATGTCCTTATGCAGAGCACTTTTTTCTCTGCTTAACACTGCATTTTCAGATTTGTTCACGCTGCTAATGGTAGTTCTTTTCAATTTTCTAACTGCCACAGAAATCTCCATTATACCATAGACCACAACTGATCAGTTTTTGTATCAATGACGTTCTCCCTGCAGAAGCTCCACGCCCAGGCTAGCAGTCCCCTGCATCCTCTTAGCAGGGATGAGGTGGCAGCACCAGGGGAACCCTGGCAGCCTGCATCGTGCCGAACCACCCACCCACCACACACTCCAGCAGGCTCTCAAAGCCAAGGGGCCCCAGAGGAGCATGGTAGGGGGAGGTGGTGGTGGGGGTCAGCTTTCAGCACAGCCTGCTGGTCCCGAGGATTCTCCAGGCCCCTCCAGGTGCGCAGGCGGCTTCCCTCCACTCTGCTGGGTCCCTGCACCATCACTCCTCCATCAAACGGTTTTCACTGACAGCTAGGAGACTAGGCAGCCACTGGAACAGCAACAGCCATAGATGGTAGCTACACCATTACTGAGCACTTACTGTGTGCCAGGCACAGTGTCAAGAGCCAGCCTGGGTTTTTTTAATGCTCATACTGGGCTCCAGGGCACATTTCTCATTGGTTCTGCCAGGCTGTGGAGAGGGCTGCTGCTGCTTCCAAACCTCCCCCGGGGAGTGGGGGTCACCAGACCCTATTATGCCCCTCATGCCTCAGAAGCAGGTGCCATCCTCTGCACCCCACAGCTCCTCTGCACCTCTCCTGACATGGACACGTAAGAGGAAGCACAGGCCCAGACTGTGTTCCCCATTCCCCCAGAATCACCCCTCTTTTTTGCCAAAGAAATGGGCAGAGGGGAAGAGGAGGTTTTCATTGAGAACTACAGCTGGGGTCCCCAAACTGGAACTCTCACGCTGGGGGTGGGGAGGCTAGGTGGGACTCCAGTCATCCC